AGATAGGGGACTTCAAAGTTTGAATAAAACTGGACGTCCAGCACGTCTCTCAAAGTTTATGTTGGGATGAATGAGTATGAGAAACGTGGAATTTTCCCTGTTAAAAGGTTAGAGCAGCTGCACGTGTCATCATCTGCTCCCTATTATTCACGAAATCAAATGCCAGAAACTCCATGCACGAAGCCACGTGTCCCAAACGGTCTTCATTCTTTAAACTACAACATTTTCACATCTTCACTTTGTCTGATAATCGCTCGCTAAATTATATTCACACTCGCATCGATTATAGAGATACAAAACGAAATTTGAAGAGAATGGTGAAGCTAGCATCGGCCCGTGAGAGGCGAATGTACGGGCCGAGATTGGCCCGGAACAGATCGGAGTACATAAACGCCGGGCTATATGTATTTGCGACGATCTTGCTTCTGACCGGTTTTTGTTCACAGTTATCCAACGAGCCCAAATCCGGGCTGGTTCTTCTGCTAATTGGGTGTGTGATAATGATGGGAGTGAATATTCATGATCTTGTTGCCCATCTTGCCAGTATCGATTTCCGATTCCCGTTAATGGAGTACGATGTACAATTCGGGCTTGTCGAATTTGGTGTGCCACTGCTTTACACATTGGGCACTATTTTGTTTTTCCTGGGCATTCTCTTTCTTTTCATCCAGGTATGTACATATATATGCTAAATCTAGCTTTAATTATTTATTAATTACGTTCAATACAAATTTCAATGTCATGCATGATGATATGATTTATATTAGGCCTTGTTTGGTTGGGATTATAATTAAGATAAAGGCATCAATCACATATTTTATGGAGACACAACTTTCAATGTCAATTTTTAATTTCGTCAAACAAGGGCTAGATTATGTTAGAAGAATTGCTCCTTATTTTGTTGGTTGATGTAGAAAACATGTTCTTCGTAATATATTATACCATTTTTAGGTAATTCATATTTCTAATTTGTCCATCCAAAGTACCATGATTATCTCATTAAAACTTCAACATGGTTATTAATGATTAATAAGGGTATGGTACCTAAAATTGTCACAACTTGATAGGTAGAAATACCTAAGGGATTTATAAGAATGTCACCAAATTACCTAACTTCAGAACGTCGCAATGACCGAAAGACACAAAACTATGATTCCTTACAGATATTTTACAACGAGAATTCAATCAAAGTGCAGTACATATACAGAGATAAATGGGAATTGATGTTAGCCATATATAACATCTAATATCTTCATCGTAAAAATAGGACAGCTTCGGAGGGCTACTTCCAGTAAGAAGTTAGTTCCTTTAAATCACCCAGTGATTGAAATGGGCTGCATTGGACATTGATTCAGAAGAGGGTCGATAGTAATGGCTTGAGTCTCATGAGGAAGGGGTACCTTGTGGGCTTGTAATTGCATTGGGCATATTTCCTTTTAAAAGTCGGTTTTAAGAGTGAGTGCTACCCAATTGCTTGTAGCATTAATAGCACATTTTTGTAGATGATCTATTTTTATTCGCAAGTTAACAAGCAAGAGCCATGTAGAGCAAGTTTTCTCATTTTCTAGGATATCCTTGAAAAAGTCAGTGGAAAATTACGCAGAAAAGTATTCTAAAGGAACAGATTATGTATGTGTTCGTGCTCGTCATTATTTATGTGGCACCCTTTTTCCCCCCCTTTTCACTTGATTACTAGTATGTGGTGAGAAATATCATCTCGGGTTTACGAGTTATTTCTGCATACCGCAATACTATAATCAGGATGGTTACCATAGTTTTCATTTGAATGGTCCAACAAATTAGTTAGGTGGACTGGAAGACAGTTTCATATTACGTACATTATGCTTTATTGTATGGATCCTGGATTAGCTACAGTTGCTTGGTTATGGGCAGAGGGAAAAGTTGGCAAGGGTCTCGGCGCCCTGCTTTCCTTCTTGCGACAAGTTTTCAGATTAGCTCGTTCATTTTTTATCAGTATCTCTTAGGAATTAATAATCAAAACTTGGCTTGAAATTACACGTGAAAATAGCTTAGTGTCCTTGTGAGAAAATTATCTCTTTTTTTTTTTCGAATCAATAACAAATAGAAATCTTATTTTCTTTCATCATAATATTAGAATTATTAAATACCTGAAAAACTTGAGAAAAAAAAGTCCACTTGCAAGCGTTGATGGAACCACATCTTGATGCAACATGTTCTAATGCATCATTAGCCAAAAGGGTATCGTTCTTAACTTCCAATCTTTCACATTCCAAAAACAAACAAGATGACGGAGATGATAGTGGCAAAGGCAAAGGCATTGAAGTGAATGAATCCATTGATGAGAATTTTGAATGATGCAAAATGTTTAAACATTAAAGAAATGATGCAAGTTAAAAATGGTTTTTGTTCTTTTTGTCTCATTCTAGTTAGTGCAAGATGTAACAAGGAATAGATTTTAAAATTTGTAAATGAACTTTAACATATCACTTTTATTTTAAGCTACTCATGAAGCAGTTATTGAGCTAAACATTATCTACAGTTTGGCTTCATAACTGCTCTACATTTATACTTTGTTATTCTGGTCAATTATGTTAGATAGTATGATGGTTTAGGGTCTTTACTATAACGACTCAGCCTCTAGTCCAAACCGTTATATTATAAGTACTGTCCGCTTTGGGTGGACATCTACCCACTTACCACCTCGCAGCTTTCTATGAAGTCCCTCAGGATCCAAACCTAAATGACTCACCCAAAGCAAAATAGTACATATGATATAACAACTTGGACATAGAGGTCGAATCCTCACATTTACTATATTTTTGGTTGATGTTCATCTCCACCTATATCCGCTCTGCAGATTGTACAGGTCCTGATTAAGCCATGACATATTACTTTCACCATCATTTCTCAATGGTTCTAATTTATAGAAAAATATTTTCTTTTTCCTTCGACGCTGCTATTATGGGTGATAGGATAATCAATTTTTCCTTGTCTAAATCTAAACTAGGTTGAACCAAATGAAGAAAAATGATCCAAGTAGTAAGCTAAAAAGCATTTTAATTTCTTAATGTACGAGAATCCTTTTACTTGACACTTCCTCATCTCCATTTTCATTTCTATATCTACTTGGAACTTTGACTTTTTCCTCTCTCTCAGTTCTCTACTTGGTAAAAATAACATCCCTTCTCTTTTTTTAACATTAGTCAACTAATCTGCAACCCATGTTCAGCACACTAGTTATCGGGAAAAGAGGCAAACATAAAGGTAATGACTTAAGGATAATTACATCAATCACTTGAATTATCATTACGCACCAATCAAGGGATGTGCAATCATCTTTATATAGGGTGATATGATTTAGGTTGATTAAATACATATTAACATATATTATAATTATACAAAAATCAAGTGATATGCAATCAACTTAATTTATGTGATATAATATACGTTGCTTGTGTATATACTAAGAAGAATAGAGAAATAATAAAAAGGAGAAACAGAGAAATCATCATGGATCATTTGGAACCTATAAATAGTCGTCAAAAAGTGACAAGCCATCCGACAAGAGAAAAGAAGTAGAAGAACTAAATAAAGATAAAGAAATGGTTGCTTATTGCCAAGATGAGGACCTAAGCGCTATCTCTATTGCGGAACTGTCCAGAGATCAATGTTCTCTCGTCTCTTGTCCTAGAGCTAGCCTTTAAGTGACAAGGGTCTGAGGCCAATCATAAATGGTATGTCAGTCAGGACAGTGGGTGAAGAGGATTTAAGAAGACTAGGGGCACGTTCACATGGTTTTATTTACTTCCTCAAATGAGTTTACTGGGTAAAATATCTTAATTTTTGTTTGAAAACTAATTTTAAAAAGAGTTTCCTATTCTAAAGTGCTTTTAAAAGAAGTTACATTGAACTTATCTTAAGACCCGTTTGGTATGACTTTTATAAAGTTAAAATGAGCTTTTAAGAGCCGAAGCAGCTTTGGACCTATTTGACTAATTTTATAAAAATGATTCTTCTAATTAAAAGAGCTTTTAAATGAAATTGGTCTAATGTGACTTTCTGTAAAAGTACTTTTGAAATAGAAAATTCTTTCAAAAATTAGTTTTCGAACAAATATTAAAATAAATTTCTCTAAAAATTCTTCTATAAAAAGTAAAAGCAAAAGTCATATCAAACATGCCCTTACTCTAAAAGTTAATCTTACATGAAAAACTAATTTTATAAAATTAAGAGTTTGTTTGACAACCATTACTTTATTTTATGATTTATTACATTGTCATTTTTAACCACACATTCACACAATAAAATATTTTATAAGTATACCAAATTTTTTTCTCAACTTTTAACCACACATTCTTTTAAAAATCACTATTTAAAACTTTTTTTGTTTTATATAATTAAATGGCTCCAGCAATAACGTAAATCTGAAAAGATGTCATTATTTGTCAGGATGTTTTTGATGTACATGATTTTATGTACATAAAAATGTCCATATACCGAAAGTGTATCGACACCCAGATTTATCCTTACTTATCACATGTCATCTCAATCGAGTCCTGAAAGATAGGGGACTTCAAAGTTTGATTTTCTCAACTTTTAACCACACATTCTTTTAAAAATCACTATTTAAAACTTTTTTTGTTTTATATAATTAAATGGCTCCAGCAATAACGTAAATCTGAAAAGATGTCATTATTTGTCAGGATGTTTTTGATGTACATGATTTTATGTACATAAAAATGTCCATATACCGAAAGTGTATCGACACCCAGATTTATCCTTACTTATCACATGTCATCTCAATCGAGTCCTGAAAGATAGGGGACTTCAAAGTTTGACGTCCAGCACGTCTCTCAAAGTTTATGTTGGGATGAATGAGTATGAGAAACGTGGAATTTTCCCTGTTAAAAGGTTAGAGCAGCTGCACGTGTCATCATCTGCTCCCTATTATTCACGAAATCAAATGCCAGAAACTCCATGCACGAAGCCACGTGTCCCAAACGGTCTTCATTCTTTAAACTACAACATTTTCACATCTTCACTTTGTCTGATAATCGCTCGCTAAATTATATTCACACTCGCATCGATTATAGAGATACAAAACGAAATTTGAAGAGAATGGTGAAGCTAGCATCGGCCCGTGAGAGGCGAATGTACGGGCCGAGATTGGCCCGGAACAGATCGGAGTACATAAACGCCGGGCTATATGTATTTGCGACGATCTTGCTTCTGACCGGTTTTTGTTCACAGTTATCCAACGAGCCCAAATCCGGGCTGGTTCTTCTGCTAATTGGGTGTGTGATAATGATGGGAGTGAATATTCATGATCTTGTTGCCCATCTTGCCAGTATCGATTTCCGATTCCCGTTAATGGAGTACGATGTACAATTCGGGCTTGTCGAATTTGGTGTGCCACTGCTTTACACATTGGGCACTATTTTGTTTTTCCTGGGCATTCTCTTTCTTTTCATCCAGGTATGTACATATATATGCTAAATCTAGCTTTAATTATTTATTAATTACGTTCAATACAAATTTCAATGTCATGCATGATGATATGATTTATATTAGGCCTTGTTTGGTTGGGATTATAATTAAGATAAAGGCATCAATCACATATTTTATGGAGACACAACTTTTCAATGTCAATTTTTAATTTCGTCAAACAAGGGCTAGATTATGTTAGAAGAATTGCTCCTTATTTTGTTGGTTGATGTAGAAAACATGTTCTTCGTAATATATTATACCATTTTTAGGTAATTCATATTTCTAATTTGTCCATCCAAAGTACCATGATTATCTCATTAAAACTTCAACATGGTTATTAATGATTAATAAGGGTATGGTACCTAAAATTGTCACAACTTGATAGGTAGAAATACCTAAGGGATTTATAAGAATGTCACCAAATTACCTAACTTCAGAACGTCGCAATGACCGAAAGACACAAAACTATGATTCCTTACAGATATTTTACAACGAGAATTCAATCAAAGTGCAGTACATATACAGAGATAAATGGGAATTGATGTTAGCCATATATAACATCTAATATCTTCATCGTAAAAATAGGACAGCTTCGGAGGGCTACTTCCAGTAAGAAGTTAGTTCCTTTAAATCACCCAGTGATTGAAATGGGCTGCATTGGACATTGATTCAGAAGAGGGTCGATAGTAATGGCTTGAGTCTCATGAGGAAGGGGTACCTTGTGGGCTTGTAATTGCATTGGGCATATTTCCTTTTAAAAGTCGGTTTTAAGAGTGAGTGCTACCCAATTGCTTGTAGCATTAATAGCACATTTTTGTAGATGATCTATTTTTATTCGCAAGTTAACAAGCAAGAGCCATGTAGAGCAAGTTTTCTCATTTTCTAGGATATCCTTGAAAAAGTCAGTGGAAAATTACGCAGAAAAGTATTCTAAAGGAACAGATTATGTATGTGTTCGTGCTCGTCATTATTTATGTGGCACCCTTTTTCCCCCCCTTTTCACTTGATTACTAGTATGTGGTGAGAAATATCATCTCGGGTTTACGAGTTATTTCTGCATACCGCAATACTATAATCAGGATGGTTACCATAGTTTTCATTTGAATGGTCCAACAAATTAGTTAGGTGGACTGGAAGACAGTTTCATATTACGTACATTATGCTTTATTGTATGGATCCTGGATTAGCTACAGTTGCTTGGTTATGGGCAGAGGGAAAAGTTGGCAAGGGTCTCGGCGCCCTGCTTTCCTTCTTGCGACAAGTTTTCAGATTAGCTCGTTCATTTTTTATCAGTATCTCTTAGGAATTAATAATCAAAACTTGGCTTGAAATTACACGTGAAAATAGCTTAGTGTCCTTGTGAGAAAATTATCTCTTTTTTTTTTTCGAATCAATAACAAATAGAAATCTTATTTTCTTTCATCATAATATTAGAATTATTAAATACCTGAAAAACTTGAGGTAAATTAATTTGCTTGTAATGTACTGATCCGCTCTCCTCTCAATCTTGTTTTCATTTTATGCTGCATTCTTTGGTCGAGAGTTTTGTGAATATTTCCCACACAACATGTCACTATCTGCTTTGTAGGCGGAGAGAGGTTATGGAACTCTGGAAAGACATGCTTTAAGCTTGCTTATTGCTGGTCCAGTTCTTTGGCTGCTTGGATCAATCGATAACTCGTGTCAGATATACGAAAGAGCAGGAGGACATGTTCAAATCTTGCAGGAAAGCGTTCTTATCCCGTTCTTGATGGGCAGCATGTTATTTCTTATTGGCGCTATTTTAAATAGCCGAGAGCAGATTGGATATGATCACCATGGCTTGGAACTCGTGGTAAATTAAATATCAATTATGTGCATATATTTACTTAAAAACGTTATGTTGAGAGAAATTTCTCAAATCACTACCAGTGATTCTGAAAACTCTTGCATAGAAGAGACCATCCATTCATTGCACACTTTTGGTATGCCTAATGGGAGGGGTAGATAGTATTAAAGTAGAAAAATGGGCTAAACCTTCTATTTGTTATCTTGTCTAGTCTTATCTAGGGCGCACGTGACGAAGGATGAAGTTTAGCCTGGATAAAGATTGAAATGAATATTGCATAGTAAATGACTTGATTTGACTGCTGAAAATCTCAAATTTGCAGGGTGAGTTTTGGATATGGCTAGGTATATTTGGAAGCTTGTTTCTTTTTATCGGGGGATTAACAAACGTCGTAAAAGTTTTCAAGATGCAACAAATTGACGGACTGAGACTAGAGAAACTGCGAGGCGGAGCACAAGAGGTGTTAGTTCAAATACAAGAAGGTCAGGCCCCACTCATTGTAGAAGAGCGGAAGAGGAGGAGACCACAGGTTGAGGGTAGCCAATCTGCTGCTGTTTCGGTACCTGACAAGGAGACACCTTACAAGGATGCACTGATTGGTCCAGCCTGAGTGCTTTGGGTTCCTTCAGTTTCTTCCAATTCGGTGTGCCTTCTGCATTTTGAGTATACACTGTTTCCATCCCTAAATTTGTTTTAGATGGTTTTTGGTAAACAACGGTATAAAAACACTGGTTTTTTGTTTTTGTTTCGTCATGCATCATACGTTTGTAATAATAGGGACAAAACTCCATCGAATACTAATGAAATAAGGTATCGCGCTGGTTCTTGTCATTTCTATTTAAATATTTTAGATTTTGTCATGCACGCAAATCTTGTAGTTTGGCACGATTGCCTAACTTCTGGAGAAAATTGCGTTAATTTTTATTTGAACTAATTTCTAAGAATATGTTCGATAGTAATTATGAGAATTGATTTTTTGATCGTTAGAGAGAAAAAGTGAATCCCACTTGTGCATGAAAAATTCAAAAATGACGGTTAGAATAGTAAAATGACGATCAAAAAATTGATTTTTTTGGATGAAAAATTGTTACCAAACGGGAACTAAATGAACTTCTAATTTCAAAAGTACTTTTAGAAAAAGTCACATTGCACCAACTTTCGCTAAAAGTTCTTCTAATTAGACAAATCATTTTTATAAAATTAGCCAAATGCTCCAAAAGGCGCTTTTGGATTTCAAAAGCTCCTCGACTTTTTAAAAGTCATGTTAGCTGGATCCTAAAATGTGTTTAAATAAGCCTCCTCAATACGAGATTGGTAAGAGATGTATATAACTCCTATCGAGTCCAACACCTTATACACCGTCAACTTTGTTTTTGTAGCAGAATACTTGAAACTTACAGAATAGCCTTTAGACGTATCTCCTCGATTTACCAACTTCAGATATGAACACAGGGTTCGTAAAGCAGTTCTAGATTTATCAAGTATTTACAAAAATGCGGGTAACATACATTTAACCAATGCAAGACCTGAAATTGAGACAGATCGACTATAGGTTTTGCGCTTTCCCTTCATTTACAGAACAAAAGACAGTCATAAAAGCAGTGGCTCTTGAATTCCAAGATGCCATTGATTCTGAGACAGAACATCAAAACAAGAATAAAACTGGACGTCCAGCACGTCTCTCAAAGTTTATGTTGGGATGAATGAGTATGAGAAACGTGGAATTTTCCCTGTTAAAAGGTTAGAGCAGCTGCACGTGTCATCATCTGCTCCCTATTATTCACGAAATCAAATGCCAGAAACTCCATGCACGAAGCCACGTGTCCCAAACGGTCTTCATTCTTTAAACTACAACATTTTCACATCTTCACTTTGTCTGATAATCGCTCGCTAAATTATATTCACACTCGCATCGATTATAGAGATACAAAACGAAATTTGAAGAGAATGGTGAAGCTAGCATCGGCCCGTGAGAGGCGAATGTACGGGCCGAGATTGGCCCGGAACAGATCGGAGTACATAAACGCCGGGCTATATGTATTTGCGACGATCTTGCTTCTGACCGGTTTTTGTTCACAGTTATCCAACGAGCCCAAATCCGGGCTGGTTCTTCTGCTAATTGGGTGTGTGATAATGATGGGAGTGAATATTCATGATCTTGTTGCCCATCTTGCCAGTATCGATTTCCGATTCCCGTTAATGGAGTACGATGTACAATTCGGGCTTGTCGAATTTGGTGTGCCACTGCTTTACACATTGGGCACTATTTTGTTTTTCCTGGGCATTCTCTTTCTTTTCATCCAGGTATGTACATATATATGCTAAATCTAGCTTTAATTATTTATTAATTACGTTCAATACAAATTTCAATGTCATGCATGATGATATGATTTATATTAGGCCTTGTTTGGTTGGGATTATACGATGTACAATTCGGGCTTGTCGAATTTGGTGTGCCACTGCTTTACACATTGGGCACTATTTTGTTTTTCCTGGGCATTCTCTTTCTTTTCATCCAGGTATGTACATATATATGCTAAATCTAGCTTTAATTATTTATTAATTACGTTCAATACAAATTTCAATGTCATGCATGATGATATGATTTATATTAGGCCTTGTTTGGTTGGGATTAAAATTAAGATAAAGGCATCAATCACATATTTTATGGAGACACAACTTTTCAATGTCAATTTTTAATTTCGTCAAACAAGGGCTAGATTATGTTAGAAGAATTGCTCCTTATTTTGTTGGTTGATGTAGAAAACATGTTCTTCGTAATATATTATACCATTTTTAGGTAATTCATATTTCTAATTTGTCCATCCAAAGTACCATGATTATCTCATTAAAACTTCAACATGGTTATTAATGATTAATAAGGGTATGGTACCTAAAATTGTCACAACTTGATAGGTAGAAATACCTAAGGGATTTATAAGAATGTCACCAAATTACCTAACTTCAGAACGTCGCAATGACCGAAAGACACAAAACTATGATTCCTTACAGATATTTTACAACGAGAATTCAATCAAAGTGCAGTACATATACAGAGATAAATGGGAATTGATGTTAGCCATATATAACATCTAATATCTTCATCGTAAAAATAGGACAGCTTCGGAGGGCTACTTCCAGTAAGAAGTTAGTTCCTTTAAATCACCCAGTGATTGAAATGGGCTGCATTGGACATTGATTCAGAAGAGGGTCGATAGTAATGGCTTGAGTCTCATGAGGAAGGGGTACCTTGTGGGCTTGTAATTGCATTGGGCATATTTCCTTTTAAAAGTCGGTTTTAAGAGTGAGTGCTACCCAATTGCTTGTAGCATTAATAGCACATTTTTGTAGATGATCTATTTTTATTCGCAAGTTAACAAGCAAGAGCCATGTAGAGCAAGTTTTCTCATTTTCTAGGATATCCTTGAAAAAGTCAGTGGAAAATTACGCAGAAAAGTATTCTAAAGGAACAGATTATGTATGTGTTCGTGCTCGTCATTATTTATGTGGCACCCTTTTTCCCCCCCTTTTCACTTGATTACTAGTATGTGGTGAGAAATATCATCTCGGGTTTACGAGTTATTTCTGCATACCGCAATACTATAATCAGGATGGTTACCATAGTTTTCATTTGAATGGTCCAACAAATTAGTTAGGTGGACTGGAAGACAGTTTCATATTACGTACATTATGCTTTATTGTATGGATCCTGGATTAGCTACAGTTGCTTGGTTATGGGCAGAGGGAAAAGTTGGCAAGGGTCTCGGCGCCCTGCTTTCCTTCTTGCGACAAGTTTTCAGATTAGCTCGTTCATTTTTTATCAGTATCTCTTAGGAATTAATAATCAAAACTTGGCTTGAAATTACACGTGAAAATAGCTTAGTGTCCTTGTGAGAAAATTATCTCTTTTTTTTTTTCGAATCAATAACAAATAGAAATCTTATTTTCTTTCATCATAATATTAGAATTATTAAATACCTGAAAAACTTGAGGTAAATTAATTTGCTTGTAATGTACTGATCCGCTCTCCTCTCAATCTTGTTTTCATTTTATGCTGCATTCTTTGGTCGAGAGTTTTGTGAATATTTCCCACACAACATGTCACTATCTGCTTTGTAGGCGGAGAGAGGTTATGGAACTCTGGAAAGACATGCTTTAAGCTTGCTTATTGCTGGTCCAGTTCTTTGGCTGCTTGGATCAATCGATAACTCGTGTCAGATATACGAAAGAGCAGGAGGACATGTTCAAATCTTGCAGGAAAGCGTTCTTATCCCGTTCTTGATGGGCAGCATGTTATTTCTTATTGGCGCTATTTTAAATAGCCGAGAGCAGATTGGATATGATCACCATGGCTTGGAACTCGTGGTAAATTAAATATGCTATAAAATACCTACCACTCATATTTCTACTCTCTCATAGGCATTATGTTTAAACTGCTGATTTTCTCATCTTCATTCTCTTCATAACTATACTTCTCATATCGTTCCACCCAAAACTCACAAATCACCCTCTTGGCTCCCATTTACTAACTTATGTTTCAATCTATGTCTATGGTATTATGAGTTACTCAAAACTACTTTCGAAACCTTCTCATTCCAACATCCCATTTCCTTTTATGTGAGGTTCTAGATTCTCTTAATGCTTCTTTACTAGGTTCATAACGCCTAGCAGAATAATCAAAAGTTAAAAACATCAGCTTCTATCAAGTTGTGCTAATCTTACATGACGAATAAATGGCAAGCTTCCAATAAAAAAAGGGGAAAAAAACATATGGTACACAAAAACACAATGCGATTAGAAAAGTTCTTAGCAAATGGTGCTTGATAATCCCAAATTTTGCTTTGTAAAAGCTAATATAAAGCATATCTTAGGTTGTGTATAAGAACTACACTTGTAGCCCTCGGAAAATTCATATACATGCATTTGCATACAGACACTGTCAACTAAAACATATGAAAGTGCAACTTCATGGAACTGTTAAAAACCACAAGAACTAGTTATTCAATAAAAGTAACGTACAGATATGTGCTAATACCAAAAGAAGAATGAACTCATTAACTCACATCCTCAATCCCTCTAATAAATTAATTCAAGGTTATATGATAGAAGATTTAAATCCAAAAATTACATAAATAATAGAAAAACAAATTAGAAAGAAAATCACCAGAAGATTAGAATAAAAAGGAAACGGTTAACATACTCTAAGTCTGTGGTCTCCACCAATAATCTTGAAACTGAGTATGTGCTCTTCATCGTCGAGAAGTTCTAATCTCTCTGTGCTGGTAGTGGCAGGAAGACCCGACTTCACATCAACTTCCCTCAGACTGCCAATTTCAAGATTCCCCTGCACAACACATCGGCTTACAAATGGCTTGTACCTTTGTGGTTGATCAAACCTCCTCACCAAAGACCAGACCTAATCAGAAGAAACAATGCACTACCCAATATTACTGATATATTAAACAATGGAGCATAACTAAGGATAATAATAAATTCATCCGTAGCATTGAGAGTACAAGTATGTAAAGAAATTCACAGAATGGAAAATTCCTAAAATTAAAGCTGATAAACGAGTTGGGCTACAGATCTTAAAGAAAATTACCACTAGCTATCCTTCTTATGCATTTTCTCAATTATAGTTTAAATATCCCTACTCTTTCAAACATTTTGTTATCCTGGATTTCGGCTAGGTTCAATGTCTGGAAAATCAAGATTAGTAAAAAATTGATTCCGAAGCTTTTACTTATTACAAACGTCAGATAAAGATTTTCAAATTTTTGTTTCAAATTCATTTCCTCGTTTTGTATTTATAGACAATCTTCAATTAGAAACTAACGAAACTGAATGCTCCGATGATGAATGTTATGGATCAAACCAATTACCGCCAGTTAGACCCCCATGATCAAACGTCGAAATTAACACACAAAATTTAAACCTCGAATGCACAACTTCAACACGAACCTCTAGATTTCAGCAATATTTTTTCATCAATCGATCAAAATCCATCTATTAAACAAAAATCCTCAAACAAATACACACGCACGTATTTGCCCACACATACTCAAGATATAGACATGCACGCCTCGAATATCTATTTACAAATACATGTATACGAGAAATTAAACAGAGAAAAATATTACGAGATTCACAGGGGCTTTTATGTGCTTGATGAGAAAGGAACTGCACTGATTATCTTCGACCTCGTGATTATGGTGCTTCCTTATGTACTCCCTCTCCACTCCGCTCAGCCCTCTCCCGTTCATCCTCTTTTCTGCTTCTTAGTTCGGTCGCCGGAGTACACCACCTCCGATCACGGGTATACAATAAACTCAACGCTCAACCACGTGCGAGTTGACTCAGCACCGCCATTTTAGGTATTAACTACGCAGCCTGCCGCCTCATCATCATCTCCCAAAAATAGAAATATAAACAGAGCTCTCCTTCATATTTACATATAGACCCCTATATTTTCAGTTAATTCTTAACTGGTCACATTTCCCGGATCCTGATATTTTTGTCTAGTATGAACTAAAGATACCTGTGTCAATTGTGAAAGTTACGATGGTGACAAATAAATTAAGGGTACGTTTGAGATAACTTTTCTTTTTATTTTTGCTTTTTGTAGAATAGTTTTTGAAGAAAATTATCTTAATTTTCATTTGAAAATTAATTTTTAAAACAATTCCTCACAGAAAAGGGAAACCTTGTATTATAATAGAAGCAGAAGTGACGTGGATTATTCACTAATATCGTGGCGAAGGAGGCCTACTTTACGTATACTTAATTAGTAAGCTCTTTGCCCAATGGAGAAGGAAGCCAAAATGAGCTAATAAATTAGAAAATCTGTTAACAGATCTAGACCCTTCACTTTGGCACCAGCGCCTTGGTCACCCGGAACGAGCTTGACTCCATTCCATCGGATGGAATGGTCGGCTTGGGGAACACCCCTCAACGCATGGGGTAGACAATCAGGGATGATTGATTGCCTGTTCCTATATGCAGGTGCGGATTTGGGGCTGACGAGAAAGACTATTTGTTGGGCTAGATTCCCACCAAGCTCTCATCAAACTGTCTGAGAAATCCTTTCTTTCTCGTCTACTCAGGGGGGTGCGGACACACCCTCTCCCTTTCGAGGCCGGGTGGCCTCGCCCCACAAGCACCCAACCTTCCTTTTGTCCCTTCGTTCTCCCCTTCCCGTTCATCTGGAAGGAAAAGGAAATCGACCCCAACAATTAGTCATCATTCTTGGCAAAATGTTTTTAGAGAAAATTATATTAAATCAACTTTCTAGAAAAAGATGTCCTAAGGAGAAAAACCAATTTCGTAAAATTAGTCAAATGGGGTTCAGAAATAGCATTTGAATTTCAAAATCTCATTTTTAACTTTTCAAAAATCATGCCAAACAGACCTTAAAATTTATGTTCACGGTGAAATAATAATAAACGATTTTTCTTTTCGTGCTTAAGGTGTTTAAGTGATATTGGATCATTAGTGTGAACATTTTTTATTTTTCAGGTTAAAATAAATAAATAAATTAGAGATTTGAATTTAGAATCAAGTTTTTCATTATAGTGAAACTTACAAATGTAACTCTTCCATTAAAAGTAAATCATTTAAAATTATTTTTCAGTTTTCTACTTTGTTTTTGTTTTATTTAAGTAGGAGTATATATTCGTCATTTTATAGTTTTTAATTTAGAAAATGAAATGTGAAAATGATAAAGAAATGAAAGGTATGGATAATTTCTACAATAATATTGAAAGGTATGAATGTTTTGAGCTAATTACACATTTAATAATTTATTTGAATTCATTTTGTACTTTTTAAAAAAGATTGTGAGTGTGATTGCAATTTGTTCTTGAATTTTTCTTTTCTTTTTCCTTGTTTTATTTAAAATATGAAGGAATATTTGTCATTTTAAATTTTTTATTGAAAAATTAGATAAAAATGATTATTTGCTTAACAAAATATGAAAATAAGGTTGAAAATATCAAAAAATAAAAAATAAGGATATTTCGTAAAATAATATTGAAAAATATGAACGTTTTGCACAAATTATTCCTTAAAATATTTTGGATCTCATAAAATACATAACTAAAATTAATTATTAACTTTAAACTAAATTATATTTTAATTATAATCTTGAGACGCTACTTTTTCTACTATTGTGAAGTCGGCTAGGCTGTCCTTTTTTATTGTTTATTACGTAAATAGTGAGTTCTGAGCGGTTGGTTTTGAATATTTTGCCCCTCGGGAATGAGCTTCTTTGTGATTCGGCGCTCTTTTTGTCTCTCACATAAAACTAATGCCCTTGTAATTTCAACTATTTACAGTTATGGTGTTAGTTTTTGTTCGATTGCGTTTTTTAAGCTGAAAAAATTATGCTACTTAACTTTTGTCTTTTTCCGCGAGAAATTTCTATCAGGGTGTACGGAGGATCATGGTTACAACGTCGACTTTCTTTTCGTTTATAAATCATGCTACATATACAATCTAATTTCACAATTTTGGTTAACGATTCACACTTGACAACATCACATTCTTCCATTTTAAAAATTAATTTTTAAATCAATGACTCAAATTTTAACAACACCAACATTGTCAACAATTATTGTCAAATATAATTGTATAATGAATTTTGCTAGAAAAATACCCGGCCTGACAGACCCTTTAACTAAACCCCACCCATGGGGGTGGATCCCATGCAAAATTATGGACTCCCCCACGAATAGGTGAGGGGCCTGTCAAGCCCCCTATTTTTGTAGCAAAGTCCTTATATAATGGATAAATCTTGTATATAAAAGCAATGGGTCCCACCTCATGTAAGGATGTGAACACTTCTATGTATCCAAATTACGTGCATCAAGCATAATCATTGTATAATTGTCTGTATACATTTCATTGGGCTTTCATAGTTGAAAAGTCACTAATTAATTAATTGTGTCTTAATCTTCGTTTATAAAATGAATGTCATTTTGAATTTTTTCAGAAAAACTAAATCAATTTGAATTTAATTTACTCAAAATCATTATTTATGCGTCCATGTTCCCACTTTGACGATTTTCATTCCGATTATGACAAATGGTTAAAGAATTGCCTCATTTTCTTGTAAAGTCAAGTTCGTAACCATATTTATTCACATTCCTTTATTATTCTCTATCAACATACAATATCATGTCACACCCTTCAAACGACAATCTAGTCCTCCACCCTCCTCAAATCAAGAAAGATCACAATGTTTCTCAATATTAAAAATCTCTCTTTCTCTATGCTATAGACCACCATTTTACGTGAAAAAGTTACTTTAAATTGAACTATAAATTTGACGATCATTATACCAATTGGCATCCACACCTTCCTGGGAATTTACATGTCCTTTAAAGCTACAGTTAAGGAAGAATTACCCTCACATAAAGAAAGATAAATGCTCATTTGGAAAGACCAAAATCCTATCCCTAGGGCATCAGAGCCATCGAGACACAGTTCTTTTTATCTTCGCTCCATCATGCAAGAAAAGGGAACCCTTTTTTTATTATGTTATATAATCAGGGTCTCTATTGATTGAGCTGAAGAAAGGGCTTCATAGCCTTTTACTTTGTTTCGAGTAGGAAATTGATTAAGCTTATACTACTTTCATTAGCCATGCACAAAATATTTTACGGGATGTTCCTTTCCTCTTAGAGTTCCCAACCCGTCTACTGATTGGATAGTTTATGATCTCGAATGCGTACCTCCCTAGATTTCGACTCTGAACCCTTGTCTTCTTTCTCAAGAATAGCTGAAATGGCTATCTTATGCCATTTCATATCCATCTCTTACTTTCCACGGAGTAATTGCTACGACTTGGCCCTAGTTCTTGCTCTTCTCCACACATCAATAGATTGTAGAGGTGGATATTTTAATCGGTTCCAAAACAAAAACAAAAAAACAAAAACAAAATCAAAATTGAGAATCGAGAATCGAGAAATGTTCACATCCAGGACATTTCTTTATTTTTGGACTGAAATCGTGGGTTTGTCCCTTTCTATAATTTTTATAATTTTTACAATTTATTCACTCCCACACAATGTTTAACTCAACAAATGGTAAGTTTGCAATGCCCAACTAGTATATACCCTAATCAATTAGATTCATTCATTTAAATAAACAAATCATATCTCCATTCGATGTCACTCCGACTCCACTTTACGCGCTGTCGCCCCACAGAAATGGCGTACATGGAGCTACAATTGGAATTAAATGCTATTATGCTAGATATTGATTTCTATATGGTGTCATATTTATAATAGATTAAGAAATTGTACTGAAGGCATATTTTACTTCTGCTAGATATTTGGATGATAATTTGTATTCTCAGCATAATTTATTTTTATTTTTAAATATAGGTAGAATTGAACCGGAGCTCAAATTCGAACCTACGTTTCAAAGTTATGGTTCGGTGCCAATAATTATGTGTATCTAAATTATTTCATTTAAGAAGTATTCGAAGTGTAAAGAATGATTCCAAATATTAAAATACCAATACTGATACTCCGGACAATGATACCTAATAGATTAATCTTGCACATCTAGATATAGAAAATATTTCAACATAGGATTTAAGTGAAACAATTATTTTTTCCCATTTAGTTAGTGGAGGGTGGGGGGGGGGCATGTGGTCCCATCTAGTACTTCCTAGACTGACGTTGCAATCTCAATGGAATTACATAGCATTACTCTACTAAATTCAAGTCTTATTTACTTGTTTATATGATTTATAGACATAAATGTATTTTATAAAAATATTATATGTAAAATAAACATGGTAAACGTCTATATTCAAATTATATATCGCCAATAAACGTGAAAAAGAATAGATAGGTCTAATTTGAAACATCTCTAAATATGAGCTGAATATATGTTAGCCACATATACAATTATTTTCCAACCACAAGAAAGGGCTTTGCCATATTAATTTTCATCCACAATATAAGGTTTAAAAGTATGACTTATTTATCACAAAATAAATAAGAAATTAGAAATCGTACATATAAGGGACCACACCTTCATTCAATCGTGTTTTCAATCTCACCAGCAAAAAATTTTATCGTAAAGAAAATTTAATCATTTTTTTTTGGTTAAACGATAAAAATGATATAAAAATAATTAATTAATTTTATTATTCATTAAGCTCCCATTTGGTAGCAATTTTTTACATCAAAAAATCAATTTTTTGACTGATATTTCACTATTTTAGCCGTCATTTTTTACTTCTTCACTCACAATTGGGACTCAATTTCTCTCTAACGATTAAAAAATCAATTCTCATAATCATTACCGAGCAGACCATAAATATATATAATAAAGTTCTTGAAACATATATATATATATATATATATATATGTTATCTCAATACTAGTTTATTTGCTTAATTTGTTTGTTTTCAATTGTCGAAAAAC